CTTTACCAAAACAAGTTTCAACACTGTTCAGGTAAAAGTGCTGGTAAACGTAAAAGCATTATTTTACTGTATATATTTATAATCCTTTTATTGTTTAACCTTACTTATCCGTAATACAGAATATTTTGTTTTTCTGTACTTAAAAAGGAGCAGTTTTATGACACCAATAAAATGTCTTCTAGGATTCTTAAGAAATATGTTGACAAATAAATTATAAATAAAATAAAATAAAATAAAATACATTTATTCAATTACAATACCCATTACAATTATACAGGGACCCCCACCAAAATGTCGCCAAATGGTATTGATGTTTGGTGATTTTTGGCGATTTTCCGACAAATTTGGAGACAAAATTAGACGCCAAAACATTCGCCAACCTAGCGATATCTACTCAAATTTAGCGAGATAGTCATTTACTCAGTTTTAAATAAACTTTCCTCTATATTCTTATTTTTCTGACACAGCATCGTTTCTTTAGATAAAAAAAAAAGGGTAGATTTTTCAGGTAAAATTTCACTAAAATTATTTATATATGTACAAAATTCGTAACAATATGAAGAAATTGGTGACAGCAAAATTGCTGGAATAAGGAATTTTTTAGCATTTTTAATGAGCGTTATGAAAAATTACAATAATTGCAATATAATTCAATAAAGCCAGAATTTGTTGAATTTCTTTGTGCTCAACGTATTTCATCAGAAATGATCGTGCAAAGAAAAATTTATTGCAGAACCCTCCGTAAAAAGAACGAAAGGAACGGGAAATATAAGGCACGTGGAAGAGGACTGCCTTTTAAACATGTTTAATAAACATGTTTAATTTATTTCCTAATTCATATACTACTTCAAATAACCTTTATAATATGTACCAAATTTTACGAATATTAACCAGAACCTCAAAAAAATATATGCATTATTTTCAAATGAAATATTCTCTGTTAAGTAACTTTCCTTTACTTTGTAAAAAAATATTATATCAGTCATCAATTTAATTTCATGCTTTCGGAAGATATTAAGCATTTCATATACTTACATGTAAGTAGTAGGTTAACAAGCAATAGAATAAGTGGATCTTTAGAACTGGAGTTAATTGATTTGACCAGTTGATATACAGGCGTGTCAGAGAAGAGCTTTGTTGGAAATGGCAGTTTGATTAATGATAGGGACTTTCTCCTAAATGCTGCAACAGGAAAGTGCAGATTTAAACTTAGCCGCATTGTTAAATAATTTTGGAAGTACTTTGATCCTTAGCATGAATAAATATATGTCGCTTGTTTTAATTAGATTAATCTTTTCGTGCCCTAGAAAGAAGTTTACTTTGCTCCTGTTTTGCAACGTCATGTCCTTTAAATTTGGGGACTTCCTTTGGGAAATATCTTTTAAGGGCACTTATTATTGTTCTGCTTTTAGTTCTTTCTTAAAAAACGTATTATTTCCATAGTCTGTCTACATTTCCGTCGTATATGTTTTTAGTTATGGTTCAGAGCTGTCGGTGGCTAATTAAGTTCAAACCTTTTTGCATGTATGATGCACAATCCAGTACAATTTTCAGCATAATTAAATGTTGTTCATTTAAAGCAGTGCTTACCAGACGTTTTCTATTGCAACCCACATGCATATAGATGGAGGATCTGAAGAAATAGCAAGATAAAATAAAAGGCCTCCAAGTAAATGATATATTAACAGAATTATAATACATATATACATGCAAAACAATTAATTAAAAGTTACAAAATAATTAATAATGAATAAATGCACAGTACCCGCCGCTTATTAAAATTACTTCCAAACATATTTGAGTATATTAAGCGGCTGAGATTAATAGACGGCATTTTGTATGTTGCAAATCGTCATATCAGTTTTAAGCTTTTCAGATAAGTAACAACTAATTCAATAGTTAATCCTTAAATTCAATAATTAATTCTGTTACACTTTCTATAACACCATAGTCAGTTTTTACACACGTTTTCTCAATACTGTTGTTAGCTGACACGTATTCTAAAAATGAATCTGTGGAGCAATTCATAACGATAGCGATGAGGCTGTGCAACACCCACTCACCCCCGCATTCTGTGATTGGACTTGATCCAAAAAACAAGGAGAAACATTCTCTCCTTGTATGACTCACTTCTCGCCTTCTCGCGTTATGCAATGGACAGTAAACAACGCATGTAATCATCTCTAGATATTTTTCTCTTCATATACCTAACAAATATGTTATTTTGTGTTTGCTAATACAATGATCGAGTTCCTTACCTCTGCAGCTTGGATTACACTTTATTAAGGTAAGAACTTTAATTCTGTTTTATTCATCTGCTCGTCTCGATTTAGCGAAGTTGTAACAGTAAACAGAAATGAACCACGAATACCTTCAACAAAAGATTATGAGACTGAAAATATGTTTACTTCAACTAAACGCATAAAATACATCGAGATAAGCCATTAAGAATAAAATTAAAAAAAAAAAAAAAACAGAAAAGATACTTTACCATAAATTATCGCTGGATAATCCGAAAAAGAAAAAGCCAAGCCTGTCTTCAAAAGCGAAACAAAACTGCATAGTTGCGTACTGCGCATTCGAAATACAGAAGCAGAAATGGCTACTAGCTGCGAAAATAAATATTCGATCATGAAACTAAACAATAACAACTATCAAGTATGGAAATACAAACTTGAAATGATCCTGAAAAAGGAAAATTTATGGGATTTAATAGCAGATGATACACCAAAAGAAATAAACGTCGAATGGACTGGAGAAAACGAGATGAACAAGCACAAGCTACCATTAGTTTACTCGTAGAAGACAACCAAATCGTACACATAAGAAATAAAGAAAAGAAATAAAACGACAGCCAAAGAAATATGGAATGAATTAAAGAAAATACATGAAAGAAAGAATCTTTCCAGTAAACTTTACCTTCTGAGAAAGTTGTATACGTTAAAAGCAGAAAACGAATACAAACTCGAAGAACATGTCAACAAAATGCTCGAAATCGTAGACGAACTGCGAGGAATCGGTGAAGACATAAAGGACAGTCACATTGCAGCGCTCTTACTAAGCGGCTTACCAAAAAGCTACGAAAATCTCATTACAGCTTTAGAAGCACGCCCAGAAGAAGAACTAACGCTGGAATACGTAAAAACGAAACTCATCGACGAATGCCTGACTGAGAAGAAAAAAAGTAACGCGAGCAGAAGAAGAAGAAGACTGCCTTCAAAACGAATTTTAACACAAAATTCAAGCATTTAAATCAACGAAGATGCAATTATTGCAAAAAAATAGGACACTTAGAAAAAGAGTGCAGATTCTTAAATAAACCACAAAGAAAAAGATAAAAACGAAAGTAACTCATTTTTCAAGAATGAAAAGCAAACAAATAAAGGAAATTATGGAAATAAACAGAAAACGAAAGTTGCTGTAAACGAGGATACACATGAAGATGAAAACGAAAATAAGAATCATGAGAGAAGACTGAGAATTACACGTTCGAAGTCACCAAAGAAAGAAAATCTCAAAACTCAAACTGGTCAGTTGACTCAGGTGCTACTTGTCATATGACCGATAACATAAACTTTTTTACCAAATTGGATAGAAGCAAATCTGAGCAGATAACAATTGCTAACGGGCACGCAGATGAAGTCCGAAGGTATAGGAGAAGGATACTTATACTGTACAGACGACGAAGATAACGAAATAGAAGTGAGACTCGTAGATGTTCTGTACGTTCCTGACCTAGAAGGAGGATTGATATCCGTACGAAAAATTACAAAGAAAGGATTCACAGTTGAATTTGAAGAAGATATTTGCAGAATAAAGAAGAAAAATAAAACCATAGGAATTGCTAAAGCAGAAGGAAATTTATACACCATAGTTGAATCGCAAAGAAAAACAGCCAAAATTGCAGCCGCAGAAAGAATAGAAAATAGTATAGATCTTTGGCATAGAAGGCTAGGACATAGAAATTATGAAGCAATCAAGAGGCTGAAGAATGATGACCTGGCAACCGGAATAAGAATTGACTGACGGAGAAGCCAAAAAGGAAAAAAGAATGCGAATGCTGTATCAGAAGCAAAATGACTGAATTGCCGTATATCCCAAGCTAAACAACTATAGAGCGAAATCAGTTCTAGACTTGATACATTCAGATATTTGTGGACCAATCGGTACAACATCACTAGGAGGAAAGAAATACTTTCATAACATTCATCGACGATCATTCGAGATACACAACGATCTATCTGCTAGCTACAAAAGATGAAGCTATTCTCCAAGTTAAAACAATTTGTAACCATGACGAAGAACAAATTTGGAAAGAAGCCAAAGTCTTAAGAACAGACAATGGAGGAGAATATACAAGCAAAGAGATTGAAGACTATCTAAAGGAAGAGGGAATCGAACATCAAACCTCCGTAGCATATTCACCGCAACAGAACGGTAGAGCAGAAAGAAAAATCGATACTTAATGGAAATGACAAGATGCCTGCTACTCGATTCAGGACTCAAAAGAGAATTTTGGGGTGAAGCCGTAATGACAGCCACCTATCTACAAAACAGGCTACCATCAAGATCAGTTGAAAAAACACCGTATGAACTATGCAATAATAAGAAGCGAAATTAAGACATATTAAAGTTTTCGGAAGCACAGCTTATTGTCGAGTTCCAAAGCAGAAAAGAAGCAAACTAGACGAAAGAGCAGAAAAAGGAATTCTTGTTGGATATATAGTGACCGTACTAAAGGATATAGAATTTACATGCCACATGCAAACAACGTCGTGATCAGAAGAAGCGTAATATTCGATGAAAACAAAAAAGAAGAAATGCCTTGTCAATTAAATGATCAGCATGAGGAAATAGAATGGCCTTTTAAAGAAAATAAATTGACAGAACCACGTCCAAATGATATTACAGAGGAAGTAATTGAAACAGAAGAAATTCCCCCATTACCGAGAAGATCCCACAGAACGACTAAAGGAATCCCACCAAACAGATTCTCATACATGGCTAAGAATGAAGAAATCAAAGTTCCTAAAGACTGGGAAGAACTTCAAACTTTTCCTACCAAAGAAAAGGAACTGTGGTTAAAAGCTACGAAAGAAGAAATGGAAGCACTGAAGAGGAACAAAAACATGGGAACTAGTCGATCTTCCAAAAGGAAAGAAAGCAATTGGAAACAAATGGACATTTAAAACAAAATCCGACGCTTCAGGAAATATTATCAGATATAAAGCTCGTTTAGTAGCTAAAGGATATTGCCAAAAATTTGGGCACGACTACGACGAAACATTCGCACCAGTCGTAAAATATACAACAATAAGGACTATTTTGGCAATAGCAGCTCAAAAGGAAAATGCACGTAAATCACTTTCGATGTAAAAACAGCGCTTTTCTATATGGAGATCTGAAAGAAGATATATATATGAAGCAACTAGAAGGCTATATCTCTACTTCAGAAACAAATAAAGTCTGTAAACTGAATAAAAGTATCTAGGGACTAAAACAAGGAGCCAGAAACTGGAATCACAAGATAGCTGAAATCCTGCGCAAACTAGGATACGTTCAAGTAAAGGCTGATTAATGTTCCTTCACACTAATCGAGAAAAACGCAAGAACTTACATAATCGTTTACGTTGATGACATATTAGTCGCGAGCGACAAGTGTGAATCAATTCAAGAAGTTGAACGAATTCTCAAAGAATATTTCGACATTCGAAATCTTGGAGAAGTGTCTACATATCTAGGAATTGAAATCGAAAAGAGAAAAAGACGGAAGCTTTAAACTTCATCAAGCTAACAAGATTAATAGTATGATCGAAAAATTCGACGGAGAGTCACCAAAGAAACTAAGCTATACACCCATGACTACGAATTTTCACGAAGAACCAAAACAACCAGGATGACATTTTTCCCGATAATCGGAAGTATAGGGAAGCAGTGGGAGCACTTTTATATTTAGCAACAGTATCAAGACCTGACATAGCAAATTCTGTTGGAATACTTAGCAGAAAAGTAGAAAATCCATCAACATCGGACTGGAACGGTATCATTAAAATCATACGATATTTGAGAGCTACAATTAATTACAAATTACATCTAAAATCCAATGGTGCACCAGTCATCAAAGCTTACAGTGACGCTGATTGGGCAGGAGATACCTCTGACAGAAAATCCACATCCGGATATATATTTCAAATAGGAAACAGTACGGTATCATGGGGAAGCAAGAAACAAAATTGTGTCGCCCTATCTTCGACAGAAGCCGAATACATCGCTCTAGCCTTAACATTGCAGGAGCTACAATGGATTAGACAACTGATGGGAGATTTAGGTTTCGCTCAACAGGAAGCGAACATCGTATTCGAGGACAATATATCATGCATATAAATCTTTCCCGAAAGAGAAAGGAAGCAGCTACACCAAACACATCGATGTGAAATATCACTACGTATGTGATCTACAAAATCAAGGGATTGTTAAATTAATACACTGCAACAGTAAAATGATGTATGCAGACATGTTCACGAAACCTTTGCCCAGACAACAGCTGGAGTTTTTATTGAAAGGAATCGGGCTTACTTTGGACAGAACAGCTCATCGAGTGGGAGATTGTGGAGCAATTCATAACGATAGCGATGAGGCTGTGCAACTCCCCACTCACCCCCGCTAACTGTGATTGGACTTGATCCAAAAAACAAGGAGAAACATTCTCTCCTTGTATGACTCACTTCTCGCCTTCTCGCGTTATGCAATGGACAGTAAACAACGCTTGTAATCATCTCTAGATATTTTTTCTTCATATACCTAATAAATATGTTATTTTGTGTTTGCTAATACAATGATCGTGTTCCTTACCTCTGCAGCTTGGATTACACTTTATTAAGGTAAGAACTTTAATTCTGTTTTATTCATCTGCTCGTCTCGATTTAGCGAAGTTGTAACAGTAAACAGAAATGAACCACGAATACCTTCAACAGAATCTTCATATCTTCCCTCACTGATGTTTGAAATATATAAGCTATAGCTCTAGAGTGACCAGGTTTTTATTTTACAGTCGAAGACATGAAAAATGTGCCGTTTCGTCAGGACTCGAATTCTGGAGCTTCTGAATATGTTTTGGAAGTGCTTGCCTGTAGTAGTAGCGGAGTACTTTTTGTCGTAGAGCCTGAAAAGTCATACGAGCCAGACGCATGTTAAATCTTTCCAAACACAAATTTAAAACCAGACTAGATTCATAAAATCAAATGAGGTAATAAAATGATAAATTCTGAGTTGAAATAATTTTAAAACTCAGATGATTTCAAATTTGAAGCAATCAAATCAAGAAACAGGAGATACATTAAAATACAGAGTACTAGAACATCAAGGAACAACTTCCAAAATTAGATCAAATTAAATAACGAAAATCTATGTCTTTAAGGTAATGAAATAAGCTGGTATTGATCTTTTTCCAGATTATTCGGTTAAGAGGCAAGTCGCTAAAATATTTCGGTCGAAGTCTGTCAAGATATTGACACTCAATTAGAAAGTGAAGAACTAATAAAACAACATTCCAGTTGGAACCAATAAGCTCGTTTTCGGCATTTAAAAGATGTTAATGAGTAACAAAAAACAACCATTAGGAGACGCGTTAAAATTACTTCATCCCTCCGAAATCTAGCAGCCTCCCAGTATTATATTTTATGCTTGACGCTTCTCAACTTATTATTAAACTGAATATCCTAGAGTTGCTGCCACTTGTTCAAGACTTTTGTTTAATGAGTTTTTTTGTTATATCACTATTAGGAACAAGCCGATTTAAAACATGAACTGCAGACTTTGCTGCAATGTCCGCAGCTCGTTACTCTTTATACCTATATGACCGGAAATCCAGTAGTAAAGTATCTCGTGTCCACGACTTCTTACGTTTAGATGCAGATTTATGATGTATACTACCGCAGGATTCTGCGTGCCAGAAAACGTTTCTAAGGCTTTTAAAGTACTAAATGAATCAGCAAATATGATAAATTTTCTCTGTCAAAGCTTGGATAGGAATTGAAGAGCAGCAGTTAATTCCGAGGTGAGGACATAGCAAACATTGTGCAGTCTTGTACCTTCCAAGTGGTTCTCTAAAATAAATGATGCACCAACGTAATGCACTACTTTAGATCCGCCTGTAAACACAGGAATATAACTATTATGTCTGTGCTCGAAGAAGAGCTGCCTATATATAAACTCGTTACTATCTTTCTTGCCAACATTCTGGAATACATGAAAAAGCCAAATCTTCGTATTCTTCCAAGGAGGAGTTTTAAAGTGCTTTACTGCCTGGGTATTAAGGTCCGTCATGTGACGTTCTTCACTTAATGAGCGAAACGCCAGAGAGAAATATGGTGCACAGAATGGTCAAGCTTCAAACAACGGATCGCAACTGTCATCAACCAAGGTAATTTTGTTAGAACGGTCAGAAAGTAACAGTGTATTGAAATAATGGCAAACAGGCAATTGCTCACACCTTAGTTGAAGTGAGGATTCATAACATTCAACATATAGAGTTTGCAATGAAGAAGTTCGAAACATCCGCAGCATATCTTGATGATGAATATGATAAAGTTTAATCAAAACTGCAAACGGGCAGAAAGATAAACAACTGAGTCACAATCACCTCCTCAGATAGAGGACGCGAGGAAGGGAAGTGAGTTTTCGGTCGAACATCACTTCCAAGAACTCCTTAGATACCACTGGGATTGGTGACCTTTGAAGATAAAGCTCATGTTGAAGATTCCGTTTTTTTACAAATATGCACACTTAAGGTCTTTTCCTTTGGAAATATAACTTATGAAATATAAATATATTTCTGACCATTTCTAGATTCGGTTAAGAGTGATCTGCAGTTGTCTCTCTACATATCTCACGTACCTTAATAGCTTCCCAAGTAGCACACGACGTTGCAAACTGGTCCGAGAGGTTGCAAAGTGGTTGTGGTAACTTTTACGACGTCTTTACAACGTTGGGAAGACGCAAAATATTTGCTGTTGCATCTTGCAATTTGTCGACGTCGTTGAAACATCATGATAGGACCGCTTTTAGACCTGGTCGTTTTAGTATTTTTTTTTAGTTCATCAGCATTATTTTTAGAATGAAAAGAGACTAAATCTGCCCTTTCAAGAGTCTGAAGTCCGGATAAGATTTACTTTGCAATGTTTCATTACTTTATTTCATCTAAATATATTAATCTAAGGTAGATTCATCTAATGAAATGTAAATTTAATATAAATACTTTTGATTTATTAAATTTAATTAGTAAAAAAATACGTAAATAATTGTTTAAAAATTTTTGTTAAAATAATTAATACTTAAAATATTTTTATAAATATAAAAGCAAAATTTTTAAAAATGAAACTAATCTATAAAGTAAGTTATTAAGTTATGCATTTTATATACTAAAAAAATCCTATTTCCGAAATCAATGCAAATCACGCGTTAGCAACTATTTCACTACTAAAATATGACTTTATTTCTTATTTTTTGAAGTAAGGACGAATTCACGGCTGTCCAATATATATGGCGGAAGGGGAAGCAGTATTTACTGAATGCACATATATATAATGAACATCATTATGAACATCTCGAGATTTGCGCGTTAAATCCGCGCTCCTTCAGGCCAATATGCCTTCTATCCTCCCTAGGGAAGATATATGAGAAGTTAATAGTCAATAGACTCAGATTTCACCTTCATCGCAGCCGCTATCTCAGTAATAGACAATTCGGCTTTAGAGTTGGACAATCCACCACTCATGCTCTGCACGCTATCTTGGAGGAAATACAAAGGAATAGATCAGGCAACCTGCACACCGCCTTCATCTCGCTGGACCTCCAGAGTGCCTTTGATACATTCTGGTGGCCAGCAATCAAGCAGGCACTCAGGAAAGCGCAATGCCCCATCAATCTCTACAGCGTCCTCTGCCACTACCTGCAGGACAGAAGTCTACTAATAACTCACAACAACGGAGTTACTACTAAACGCCAGAGAGAAATATGGTGCACAGAATGGTCAAGCTTCAAACAACGGATCGCAACTGTCATCAACCAAGGTAATTTTGTTAGAACGGTCAGAAAGTAACAGTGTATTGAAATAATGGCAAACAGGCCATTATTTCAATACACTGTTACTTCTGTGTTATTCAAAACACCAAGAAAGGGGCTGTCCGCAAGGCTCGTGTGCGGGACCGATTCTTTGGACGATTACTTTCAACGCCATCCTGGAGGCCACATGGCCAAGACATACGTCCATCGTCGCCTACGCTGACGATGCCGCACTGTTAGTACAAGGAAGAACCCGCGACGAGCTTGAGAAGAATGGCACCGAGTCTTGTGCACTCTTTGCAGAACTCTGCGGCAAACTTAAACTTCAACTATCTGCTGAAAAGTCCTGTGCCCTGATCATACCGAAGCAAAGAGCCAACCTGAGACGCAAACCATTGCATCAAGTTAATGCAGAGGAACATTAAAATCAATAACACCTTAAAGTACCTTGGCCTTCTGTGGGACAATAAATTAACATGGATCCCCACCTCCAAAAGTATTAAACAGCGAACTTCCGAAATAGCAAGAAAAGCCCGCCTATTTCAGGGGCGAAACTGGGGTCAAAATCTCCCACATACAGAAAATTCTTTATCTCACAGTCTCAGAGAAAATAGCCCTTTACGCTTCAGCAATATGGGCCAATCCGATGAGTGGTAGAAAAGTCAAACAGCTGGGAATTATACAACGACCTTACGCCTTACTCTTGTGTAAGGCCTACAGAACAACGGCCACTAGTGCAGCAGTGGTATTATCTGGTCTAATGCCACAGCACATACGCGCAGAAACTGAAGCTGCTTACGCTACTGTTATCCATTTAAAGAAGGAAGCTACTTTCTGCGGAAACACTTATAGTCCAGTTCAGTATGAGCATCCAAAGAATACCCTGGAGACGCACCCTGCGCACAAGGGAAGAAATATAAGGATTCACGTCAGCAGAAGTGGCGAGCAAATTACAATACAGGATCCACGGTACCCAATGCAGTACTATACAGATGGATCCAAGCTCGACGAGGGTACAGGTAGTGCCTTCGTCCTGCACCACCGAGGATGCAAGGAAATCGAGTGGAAGGGGCATCTTCAACCAATAAACAGTACATTCCAGGCTGAAGTCATAGCCATTACCACTGCGATTCAGCATGCAATTCACAGCGGGATCACCGATGCAATGCTGTTTACAGATAGCATGTCAACGCTATTCGCCCTAGTCAACCATAACCACAACCTCCCCATTGGTTTAGCGGACCTCCAGAATATTCTACAATCACATCCTCAACTAATTGTAAATTTAATATGGACTAAGGCACACGTTAACAACGAGGGTAACGAGACAGCTGACCAACTGGCAAAGGAGGCAGCAAGCAACATAGCTGCACAGATGGTAACTATTCCAGCGCCACCCTCGTATCTCAAGAGAAACTCTTAAGGAAAAGGTCTGCAGAAGTGGCAAGCTGAATGGGAGACCTGTGATACGGGTCGCAGAACCAATTTATTTCTGCCTAGAGTGAAAATGGAGCGCCAATACTCCATACCTCCCATCACTAATTACATCTCGGGGCACGGGCCTTTTCCCACCTATTTTGAGCGATTTGGTATCTCTCATACAGGCTTGTGCGTCTGTGGGTCGCTCGAAACTCCAGACCATTACATCTTTGAATGCCCGCTCACGGAGGATAATCACCTCCACTTGCCAGCAGACAACCAAATAGCCTTCAAACGATTTATCGTTAATAACAAAGGCACAGTGAATACCATCTGCAGAATAATCAGCCAGATAACCGCCCTGGGGCAAGACCTATGCCAACCCCACTAATTCAGGGTCTTAAGTGAATGTAAGTACTCCTCTGCATCTAAGGAAATACAGTATCTTCCTTCTGCTAAGCGCATGTACCTTCTTTATTAATAGTATTTATGTGTCCTGTCATGTATGTGTTATGTTAATATTTTTTTTTCTTTTTCTTTTTTCTTTTCTTTTCTTTTTTTTTTCTTAAATGTGTAACCAGTATGTTATGTAACGTATACCTTGCAAACCTAAATCTGTAATACAATATAAATAGCCAATGTATCTCTCATCTGCCCCTGTATGGCAATGTAATAAATCTTTTAAGATCTCAATAAACCTCCGGTAGATAGGGGAGGGCGCGGGACATATGCCTGTTTACCTCTGTTAAACACCAGGCGTCCCCGTCCTCCGTCACCTGTCACCTGCCAAATTCGAACAACTGCGCAATTAATTCAGATTCTAGCAGTTCTTTCAAGTCATTGGGTAAAGATGCCATCCTGAAAAGGCTTACTTCATGTTTCAAATTGAATCAAGCAATGGCTGATATAAATAATATTGTTTATATTAAAAGTAAATGTAACGCACTGTCAATCAAAGAACGCATTGTGAATCTTCTCATTGTTCTGTATGTATTTGCTTCAACTGCCTTCAGCGAGTGAAATTATCGTCAGAATGCTGAATTTGTGTACTTATTTTGTGTGTGAATATCTGCTATCGTGAATCCAGTGTTCGTGAAATAGTGTCTCTGTGGTCTATAGTGGTCTGTGGAATATAGTATTCGTGAAATAGTGTTTCTGTGGTTCGTGAAATAGTGTCTGACTCCAATCGCTGTGGCTCCAGCGGTGCAATATTAGGATAAACTTACTAGCTTTGTGCTTCGGTTATAACGTTATAAGCGCTATATCGCATATCATTCATATTAATCGATTATTGTGTTCATATTAAAAAGTTGGCTTTCAGAATTAATTCATATAAAACCAAAAATAACATACAACGGTAAGCCACTTTCTGCTATGCTTAAAATGCAATGAATACAGAAGCAAACAACAATTCAAGCTGTTATGATATGTTCATTATTTTCAAAATACAAAGATATTATTGGACTGGTACCAGTACTTAATATGACTGCTGAAGAGGAATTAGATATATGTTTATAAGCAATTAATTAATTATTAAAATTAACAATAATGCACATACTATAGTATATTGTCTTTTGTACAGTATGCAGAAAAGATGAATGATTTTAAGCAATGTATGAAATGTATGATCGAAAATCTAGTGTTAAGGAAATATTAGCATTTCTATGAAATATTGTAATCTACAATTATGTGATACTTAATTGTATAATATAACACTAAATATTTTTATATTGCTTGTCGTTTGGTATCTATTTTCCAAACACTGTGTAATTCGCGTTTTTTTAAATATTGCCGTTACGTATGTCTATTAGATTATCTCAATAAATGAATGTTGGAAATTAAGTTTTGTTCTTTATTAAATTTAAGTATATTAAGTAAGTCATTTAAGTATATTCTTCGCTTACATTTGTGCTTGTGATAACAAAGCAATTAATAATAAATAGAAACAGAAAGTTTCATCCTGTGCTATTTAACGAAGAGCTTACTCTAACGTACTTAGCTTACTATCGTATACTATATTATTTCAATTATTTCTGTACAGTAACAAAAAGGAAAGTTATTGATTATAAAAAGTGCATGAAAAAATCATTGTAATCTACCACTATTCTCAAATGTAGAAACTAAAAATAAGTAAATACGTTAACATATGATCGAAAGAAATGATGTTAAGAATCATCAGCAATACTAGTGTAAATACTGCAATTCATAATTTTTGCACTTTTAATTGCTTACTATTTAAAAAACACAAATATTTTTTTATTAATTGGAAATTTTAGTTCTGTTACCTTCCTTCTGCTATTTATACTTTCAAACACTACTGTTTCATGTTTTTTCTTAAATAGTGCCGTCATGTATTGTTGTTTGTTAGGTTATTATTGAATTTTAGATATGAATATGAGAAGTTATTAAATTTAGGTATATTTTTAGGTATGAAATATGTTTATCACATTATATTAATTACTTTATACTGTCCTTTCATTTGCATATCTTGGAGATATATAGAAGTTAATGGTTATAATTTTTACTGTGAAACGCGAATAAATTTATTTATACTTGAGTTCAGGTAAAATACTAATTATGTTACCTTAAGAAACGCTTCCCAATTTGTCATGACAGGCGCAATTTTCAATGTCTCTCTGAGATTTAACAGAAATAAGTGTGATAATGCTGTTATCAGAAACGCTCTTTTTTTACCCACATATATATCTTTACTTTTATTTATGTCTAATTGAGTTTTATTTACTTAAAAACCTACTATTAATGTTATATATTTATAATAACCACTTTCATAATTACTCTCACTTAAGGGAAAAAATGATGAAATCTTAAATAATCTTAACTTAGAATTTAAGTTATTTAAAAAATATAGTTTAAAGTACTGAAAATAATGAAGGCTATTATTAATTATGAATATTTAGCGTAAAGAGAAAAAAATTGTATTATGTTCTGGTTTTAAGGAAATGATAAAATATTTTAACTTTAGAAAAATACAAGGAATACAAAAATTTAAAAAGAAGAAAAATATATTAATTATTAAGCTTATTTTTCTGCATAAATCAATATTTAAGACAAGGACATAATAACGACATTTTCACAACTGTTGCAAAAAGGTAGAATTTTGCGAACATTTAGGCTTCTTTTAGACGTCGTGATACGATGCTTTCACATCCAAAATATCACCTGCGAAAGAGGCAATAACGACGTCTATACGACAAAAGCTCAGAAATACTCGTCTGGGAGAAATACTCATCTGCAAAGACGTAATAAAGACGTCTTTGCAACGGTTGCAAAACAGTGGATGTTCGCGAACATCTGGGCGTCTTAAAGACGACATATTGCAACGTTTTTGAGAGGACATCCGTGACGAGTTTGCAACGTCGTTACGACGTTGCTGTGCTACTTGAGTTACCTGAAAGTCATCACCATACAATGATCCTAAATCTGTAGTAGGGAGTGGTCAGAACCTTGGGGCGCATCCTTTTCTTGACAAAAAATACCTGATAACACAGAGCTAAATCTTATTTTGAAAGTCCTTGCCATAAAATTATTCTGCATGAATACTGGTATATTGAAACGCAACCCATAAAAGTGAAGATCACGTAATATGCCGTATCTCCGTGCCATGTCATAAGCCTTTTCAATGTCTAAGAAGACAGAAACTAGATGGTTTCTTTTTACAAAGTCTAAATGAATGGTAAATTATCAATGGTCATTCTTCCTTTGTGGAAACCTTTCTAATAAGGCGAAATGACACAATTTTTTTCAAGCAATAGACTAGGTGGCAGTTTACTAGTTTTTCAAGGAATTTCCAAATAAGTGTGATAGACCAATATTTCAAGGGCTTCTTCGCGTCTTGACTTAGCTATAAGGACGACTACAGCTTTCTTCCATGCACTGGAAAAAGTACGATCCTATCACACTCGGGTTTATAGAATGAGAAGTATAGCCAATGATTAACAGGAGAGATGCTTCATCATTTCATAACTCACGCCATCTGAACCTGGACTAGATACACCTGTCTACATTAAAGCTCGTTTAGCTAAAGTATGGTGGAACTGCCATTATATGATTCTAAGCTGAACACAATGGGGATATTTTTTTAGCGCCGCTTGACTAAAAGAAACGCTGGAGAGTAACAAGTGCCACTGCAGAAGGCGGCAAGTCTCACCAATTGTATTCGCTATTTTGTCTGTGGCGCTAATCACTCAGTCGTTTTTTCCACGAAGGAGAGTGAGTGGATAACGCACATGCTTTTCTATCTCTCTCTCATATTCTCTTACTCAGCCTAGATGTTATTCCAGACACATAAAATACCTAAGAGTCCGTTCGCCGCCACACTCTTCGTGCATATACATTGGCCTTTTCTAAAGGCGACGACATTTTCAGTGTGGGGTAGCGGTGAAATTTATCCCAAGCTTTTCACTGTTATCTCTGTTACTATCGGTTCCACCATGTTTCGAATATTTTAGAAATCTTGTAAGATAAAACTAGAATACAATATTGAGCTCCCTGTATAATAACCTTCGTGAAGGCTTCCACTGCATTCCCTATAGGCACATCGTTCACCATGTCTTCAAGGATCTCTGAACCGATGGAAAAACAGAAATGGCGAGGTCAATGCTGTGAAATATCCTGGCAATCTAGTGGAAATAAGTTTGCTCTCCGGTATTAACGAGGCAAAAGTGTGATTATTGATAATTTGATAAATCTGTTTGTCATGTTAGCTTTTATTTCTACTTCCCCAAACATAACTGTTGTAGAGACATTAGGTATTTTTTTGCAAGCAGCCAAGAAGAAAAATATGCAGCGCCTTGGCCGGAAATCGAACCGTGGACCTCTCAATTACGCGCTGAGCGTGCAGACCACCACACCACGAAGGCATGCTAAGAAGGCGGAAGAAATACCTTATAACTGTGACCGTTGTAATCGTTTAGTATAACGAAAGGTTTGGGTAACGTCTCTAGTAAATTATGCAATTCCTGCTCTTTGGTATGATCATTGGGT